TTTCTTTCTTTCTTTCTTTCTTTCTTTCTTTCTTTCTTTCTTTCTTTGTAAACTGAAAAAATATCTAATTATTGCTAGAGGGTGTTTGAACATATTTGTCAAATGTCATAAGTTTCAGTATTTAGCAGATCACGTCTCAATTCCTCTTCCAGAAGCATATGCAAAGATAATTTCACAGAGGATGCAGCAAATTTGTGTGCATCTATACACGTCATCTTAACATGAGTAATGGTTGAAAGTAAGCATTTAAAACAATTCTGAAATAATATAGTCACTCTGATGCTACCTAAATACCTACAGAAGGAGGAGATGAAGCATTTAGAATCAGTAAGGCCATACATAAGACCACGGTCTCCTTTGCATCTCAATGTGCATCTCCCATGTGCCTGAGAGAGAGAGAGAAAGAGAGAGAGCATGCGCACACAGTGATATCCATCTGTAAGAAAAGTTGACTGACTCAATGGCTACATTTATTATTTTCTGTTTTGAGCTTAAAAGAACAAGATTTGTTACAAACTATTTGTGAAAAATAATTTATAATCATAATACAGTATAGCAGAAAGGGGAAAATGTTAGATAGAAAAATAAGCACAAATATATGGTTTTCTGTATCATATGCTAAGAGTAAATTATCCACCTTTCTTGGTATGTAGCATAATTTTATAAAATGTTCAAAGAGAAAATAAAAGATGGTCTGTGGACTTCTGGCCTAATCAAAAAGTAATGCACAGTTAACTAGGAAAATTGCTGCAATAAAGGAGCTTGCTGCAAATACAACTTATCTAAACTACTATAAATTTTATCATTTTATTTCTGAAATATCTATAGTATTTCTTCTTTGGGTTGTTATGATAAATCATTATAATGCAAAAAGCTTTAATGTGATAATATAAAGCCTCAATGCCTGATTTATTTTTTAGAAAAACTCAATACATTTCTTTGCTTAAAACTTTTGAAAAATTGCATTAGATATTGGGAAAACAGAAGATGGGACCTTGGAACCAGTTCTCTTAATTTGTCGGCTCTGCGAAATGCTTGGAAACAGGAGAAATGAGGCCAGATTCATGACATGTGAATCAGTGAATCAAAGAAAGGTCCACCTTCAGAGAAATCTAGGCAGAGGAAGAGAAAGGCCCTGAGGGTACTGGCAGGGAAAACCTGTGCTCTTCAAACTAAGGTCTGAGGTCAGAAGAGGTAAAGCCTACTGGGAGGCACACAGAGAGTGCCACCCTTTCCTCCTTCCTCATGAAGAAGAATTTCCGACTTCTAGGTCAAGAAACTACACTAAGCAAGAAATTCTACAGTACATTCTTCCGTGTTCTTTTCCAACTGCACAACTCATTATTCTGTGCCTTGGCAGTGCAGAGCAGTCTTTTCTTTTCTTTCTTTCTTTCTTTTTTTTTGTTGTTGTTTTTGATTATTTTATTTTGATAATGGTGACTTTCCCAGCAAGGAATAGAAACTGACTTTTGATTTGTTTAAAACAACACAAACTAACCTTATTAAAGAAACATGGCATTGTTAGCTTGTCTCTTACCATTAAAAAATAGTGTGAGCACAAGACTGTATTGCTCAGAAGCGGTTTATCGTTCTATTTTCAAGAGACAGCACTTCACTATGAGTTTAACAGAGAACAACTTACAACATGGATTATTTACTATGTCTACCTTTAACATACTTTGTGCACTTCTAAACACCTAGGAGGACTAGATGTTTCAGATGAGGACATAAATTTGTCCCCTATATACATAGTAGTAGTGTTAAACACACACACACACACACACATACACACACACACAAACACACGTAACATTGGTTAGATCTCCAAGTGTCTTCTGGTGAGAGCATTCTGGTGTCCAGTCTCCTTTTCTTCAACCCTTCTCCTGCATCACGTGACACACTCTTACAACTCTTCAGAAGACAAAGTTGCTATGAATTTTAACACAAGAGTATGCAGAATGTGTGAGTTTACTCACTCTACTTTTGTCATATATTGGCAACCTTTTAAATACCTAGAGACTGTGTATCAAAGGACTCTGTCCAGTATGTACAATATATACAGACCAGCAAAGTTAAATGAGATGCATACAGCGTACAGGGTGGCGGGTGAGCTGAACCTGTCTAGCACACTAATGGACTCTTTTGCAGTTTCTTCCCGCCCTCCTCAATCCACTGAACAAGTACAGCTGGCACACTGTGCTCAGAGGTGGGCTAACAATTCTATTTCCAAACACAGTATTTCTCTAATTTAAAAAAAACTATTTACACAAAATACTATTATTCTACTACTTCTACCTTTAAATATATCAAGCACTTCCAAATATCTAGATATTTCATGTTAAGAACTTATAACATGGCACTTGTAATTAAAACTGTATGCAAAGCAATGGTTATTATCTGAGATATCTTCTAAATATAACCATTTGGGCTTTGAGCCACTTTCTTCCCTTCTCTCTACCATCAAACCAGTAGCAATACAGTCTTGTGCTCGTTTGGGAGGGAGGAAGAAAGAAATGTATGAAGGGCCTAATACTAATGTAAATTTGGTAATGCAAGATTAGCCATTGCTCCTTATATCTGTGCATCTTATTCTGCAGTGTATAGTGTATACAAAAAAACAGACAAGTCCAAGTATGCAGCACCTAGTCTTCCTAGATGAAGAGGCTGCTGATGTGGAACAAAGTTAGTGAAAAGACATGTTTTTAAGTTGTGTTAAAGTTTGTAGGAAAAAATGAAACAAAACTTCTTAAAAACACGTAGGTCAGCCAAGGCTACACAGAGAAACCCTGTCTCGAAAAAACAAACACAAGAACTGAAATTGTTAATATTCCCACAAAAACATGAGAGAAATGGAAGAGAGTCTAGAGAGAACGTTGCTGTTCAGAAGTTTCTGACTAAGCCGTTGTTCTGTGAGCAGTTTATTCACTGCTCCGGACAGATACTGGGGAAATGGAGTGCTTGTTGGAAGCATGTAGGCCTTACACTTTTAAGTACATGATAGACTTGTAATGTATGGCTTTAGTTCTAGGCTGAGGAAGGTGGATCAGAGTGCCAGGCCAGCCAGGGCTACATAGGCTCTGTCTCAAAGGAGTGAGGAAATGTGCAGATTGGACTGGTAGGGTGGCTCAGTAAAGGTGTGTGCCACCAAGCTGGTGACCTGGGTTTGAGCTCCAGGATCCACATGATAGGAGAAAACTGATTCACATGGATGCAGTGGCACACGTGCTCACATGCACTAGTTCATACATGTATACAGTGCACAACATGAAAATAGAGGCTAACATCACCTTTAAGTAGTTTTTGTTATGTCATAGGAATGGTCACACTGGGGAACTTGGTCTTTGAGCAGATGCTGTTACGGGGGGGGGGGGTTGTAGGGGAGAGAACAGTGCTCAGAAAAAGGCGCAGTTCCTGTTGGCCAGGTCAGCTAGCCATTGCTTAGGTTTGCATTTCAGCTAATGTTGCCAGGTATTAGGGGGTAGGTCCCAGGACCCAAAGGATGTCAGAAGTAGCAGAACACTCTAAATACCCTGCTAGCCTTTTGGGCAGGCTGTCTTCTGGGTGTGGCCTTTGTTAATCCTCTTACCACATCCAGAGGACTGGTTTGCAGCTGAACCTGGGGGTCCATATGTGCATTTCTGGTAAAATACTTGTGTTTATTGTAAGTATCCTAAAGGAGAGCACGTGGTTAAATATATGGTAGAATTGATAGAAAAGGTTCCTCTTGAACACAGAATTGTTAAGCCATGTCTGGAGAGTGTGAGTTAACTCATGTTGCTAGGCTGACTGGAGGGCAGGCTCACGGGCGAGAGCTGCACTGCTGTGTTGAGACTGGCATCCTGAGAGCCCCCGCCATAGGTCTTCAGCTGCTCCATAGGAATACATGTATTGATGGGGGACGCCTCTTCCTCATATGTTAATATGTAGATCTGATGATGAACTAGGAATGCTGAACTTAATGTGGTCTGTTGCTTTGTTTTCTTGTAAGCTGAGCACTGAGGGAATGCAGAATTGAATTGTAACCTCGCCGGTACATCTATCTAAAGGCCTGCTGCCATTTTTGTCACCTGTGACTTTTGTAGCCAAGGAAGCCAGGATTACATTTTTGTCTGACAGATTGAGATGGCATGGTGTATTCTTGGTTATCAAAATGCTCATGTAGCATGGGGTTTTTAGTTGGTTAACATTCACGATGTGGGGGAAAGCATGGTACATGCTGTATAATCTTAATTACCTAAGTGTATGTACGCTTGTAGGATCTAGGACAACACACTGAGCTGAGCTGCTTGTGACCGGGTGACTTAGCTCTTGAATTCTTGTGTTTTGCTTCCTGTAATGCACATATTAAAAAATAAAAGGTTCTTTTCAAAGCTTAAAAAAAAAAATAGTGTGAGTTGGAGTGGTGGATCAGAAGTTAATATTTCTTTCTTATTTTAATCACTTGAATCAACTATATTAATTAATGTTAAATTTTCAGTTATATATTTTAAAGTGTTGATACCAATAAGAAAATTTACTTTATTTCTTATGTTATATTAGATTAGTATCCAAAAAAACAACCACTTAAATTACAATGTTCACTTATGAGTCTTAATATCTGCTTTGATACACTACTACGGAGAGTCTTTTAGAGGCCCTCTGTGGTAGGCTCCTGTCCTGTTGCTTGTTTTCTCCTACATCCAATGTCCATCCCATTTGTCTTTCTAAGTGAGGATTGATCATCTTACCCCGGGTCCTCTTTCTTGTTTATTTTCTTTAGGTATATAGATTTCAATATATTTATTGACTTGAACTCAATGGCTAGCTCTTCCACCTACCCCCTTCCCCCCCCCCCCCAGGGAGGAGCAGCCTTACTAGGCCACAGAGGAGGACATTGCAGCCGGTCCTGAAGAGACCTGATAAGCTAGAGTCAGATGAAAGGGGAGGAGGTCCTCCCCTATCACTGGACTTGGAAAGGGGCAGGGAGGAGATGAGGGAGGGAGGGTGGGATTGGGAGGGAATGAAGGAGGGGGCTACAGCTAGGATACAAAGTAAATAACCTGTGATTAATATAAAAAATAAAAATTATTATAAAAAAATAAGTAAGTAAATAAATATTTATAAAATAAAAAAATTACAATGTTCAGGATGTATTCCGTTCCACACATTTTCATCTTTTAAAAAATATATTATTATTTTATTATTTACAATTTATTCACTTTGTATCCCACTTATACAACCTTTCCTCATCTGCTCCTGATCCCATCCTCCACCCACTGTTCCTCTGCTGGAGAGATGTCTCAGAGGTTAAGAACACTGGCTGTTCCTCCAAAGGTTCTGAGTTCAATTCCCAGCAACCACATGGTGGCTCATAGCCATCTATATTGAGATCTGGTGTCCTCTTCTGGTGAGCAGGCACACATGCAGAGCAGTTTTTTCAAACCTTTACCATTATCTCAACATCCTGACTCTATGCCAAAATCCTCTCCTCTCTCTCTTTCTTAGATCACACTCCTCTACTCATTTTTCATGGCATCTTTCAGGATAATGAATCTTTTCATGCATCTCTTCAGTTGAGAGTAACTCTTCTTTTCTGCATCCTGTAAATTCTCATATTCTGCATCAATCAAAGTATTGCTTTTCAGAATATTATATTTATCATTTTGTTGGCCTGTTTTCTTAATCTAATTATTTTAAAGTTTCTATTTACATCACATCTATCCTTCTGTCAATGTCAGAGTTTCCAAGTTTTCTAAATTAGCAGTCATTTCAAATCCCTGGCCTTCTTGCCCCACATATGTTGTTCATATCTAGATTTCTGTATATCAAGCTTTATTTATTTATTTTTTACATCTTCCTGAAGAAACTGCTTGGAGATTAAATCTTTAAATAATTTCTACTTGTTAAATTTTACGTGAATTTGTATATGCCTATGTAAAATCTTTTGATTATACTAGATCTTTCCTTGTTCAAACTACTTTGCCTTCCTTTTCCCTTCCATGTTTTACTTTTTTCTGTTCTAAACTTTCTAGATCCACAGCCTGTTTTCTGAAAGCATACACTGTTTGAAGCTCCCTTTATTGTGCCCATAAAAATTTTGAGAGAGCTGATAATTTTTATTCATCACTTTATGTATAAGAAAGATTGACATTTTAACACTTCCACAATTGTTTTTTTTTTTTTACTTTTGTTTTTAAATCCAGTATATTTCCCTTTTTTGTCACCTCTATGAAAGAAGTTTGTAAATAAAATAATAACAAAGCAAACAAGAACACAGAAGAATTTCATACCAGTGAGATTTTGAGTTAGGAGTAAAATAAATCACTGCAGGTTTATTAATCTGGGATAGGAAAAGGCAGACATTAGAGAAAGAATCAGGTGATTGCATCACTGAAGCCCCTGAGTCAATCAATCAGAGCAAAGAGACACTAAGTGGTCTGTTTGAAAGGAAGTGAATCGTTTTGAAAGGACGACGGAGGAAGTCGATATTCTAATTATACAGCTTATACCTTAGTTATAGAGCATGCAAACCCACAATCTTCTCTGATTCTCAAATTTGGAGACCCTAGAATGTCTCCTGTCCTGTAACTAACAATAAATGGTCTATGACTATTTTCATAGTTTTAAATTTACTTAAAACGTGTAACATGTTTCTTTTTTTTCCATAGGCCGTATTGTTTTATTTTCTTGTTGAACATTATATAAAATTATGCTACATCTCAAGAAAGGCAGATAATATACTCTTAGTTGAAAATATATCAACCTTTCCCAGAATCTTATAAAATGCCCAGATATTCACTAGGAATGTTTTATAGGGGATGACTATTCATAATCTACTCTTTATAATTTTTCTTTATTATTATTATTTATTACAATTTATAACAAAAACAAAATAAAAAGCAAAGAAACCATCTCAATAATTCTTTTAAATAGTATCTATGTGTGAATAATTTCTTTACCACATAAAACTTCAAAATTGTAAAATGCTAGGTAATTTTAGAGATAAATAGGGGATTAGAGAGTGAATTTTACTTTTTCTCTTTTTATACATATTTTTAAATGTGCCATCAATGTATGATTCATTTAAATAAAAATTCAATTATAATTCTTGAATCCTTATTAATCTTAACTTAAAAAGAAATAATAATAGCTAAAAGAAAGCACAGGAAAAAATCTAGTACAGCTAAAGTAACACCAAAATTTATAGGATAGTTGGATTTTCTTCCTAACAAAATACATTTAGAGTGCATAAAATATAAAGTCCTACATAATTTACAATAATTGAGGGAAAATGACATTTCACAAGGTATACTGTATGCTTTTGTAAAAATGGTCAGGTTTGTTTTAAAGTTTGAAGCATTTGAGGACCTTATTTTCTCCCAAGGATTTCATTTAGAAGAATTTTTTTTTCAAAAGATATAATGGAGTTCTCTACATTTAACATAATGCCGTATTCCAGCAGTAATTGTGAATCTTCACATTTTTTTTGTTTTAATTTTGAATTACAGCATTCTATTTTCTGTATAATTTGCCATAATTACATGAATCATTCCTTTGTTGAAGACTTTCCTGAGAATTCTCTAGGACAGGTATTGAGCCATAATTAATTTCCTAGTGGCAAGAATTCTTAGAATTTATGTAAAACCTTTGTCTGAAACAAAACCGCAAAATTAGCATTTTACTTACTGGTGAGTTTAAATAGCTGCAAAGCAAACTACTCAGCCATCATCTTGATCACCTCCCAGCTTGCTTCTTCCCACTCTTGGGTTCAAGGTATTGTTCTTACATACAGAAAAAAAAATGCTATGATTTCTTAATGTTAACTTCTTCTAATCAATTGAAATGCATTTGTAATACTTTAATTATGTTAATAGAATAGTGATACTTTATTATAATATGCCAAGAACTTAAAACTGCTTTTGTAAATTTTAATATATTCTCAGAGATTAAACAGAGATCACTATAGTTTTGTATAAATTGATTTATCTTTGATAATTTTTTGCAACTAAATTATTGAATACTAAAAATGATACATAACTTTAATATTTTCTTAGGATAACAAATTTCAATTTCTTTTGTCCAATTATATAGAAGTTGTCATGCTAAATGTTTTCTGGTATCTATAAATATGAAAGCAAAGACCACTTTAACAGGGTCTCTCAGTCCTGGCAGTACTGGCCCTCTGTAAACCAGGCTGACCTCTAACTCACAAAGATCTATCTGCCTCTGCCTATCAAGTGCTGGGATTGAAGGCGTGTGCCACCACTGCCTGGCTGTTATATTCTCTCAAACTTTTACTATTATTATCATTATTAATAATTATTGATTTTTTCAATTTAAGCAAATGTTGCTATCTCTGATTTAGTGCAGTTTGCTGGAATTCTAGAAATGAAACATATAGACAAAGAAATCTTAGAATTCTCTATAGTTGAGTCATTGTTATGCCATGATGTAGATAGGTTGATGAAGAAAGTTATGGGGTTAGAACCAAATACTTTTAAAATTAATTCCTTGTGGTTAATAATATCAGCCAAGGGAATTTTACAAAGACTCGAAGAATAGAATGTTTTCAAATATATTTCCATGAAAGTTACTTTTTCAAAGAATTTCATATAAAACAACAACAACATGAAAATTTCCTTTGGATTTTACTTCTTCATTTTGCCCACTTTGCAAACATCTTGATTAAAGGAGAAATGTTCTTTGTGATTGTTTTTAAAGACTGATGCTTTTTTTTTCCTTTTATAAGGGACAACATATTAAATATCAAATTATTTTAGATGTTAAATAAAAATGATAGAAAATTGGTATTTCTGAAGGATATGAGAACTAAGGAAGTGCAGGCAAGATGTATAGGCTCTGGCCATGGAGCCAGCATTTGAATTCTATTCCCAGGCTCCACATGGTTCTTTCCCAGAAGAAAAGAACTGACTTTAAAATTTGACCTAACAAGTTGTTCTCTGACCTATAAACAGCCACATTATGGCATTGCATGAGATCAGAGAGGAAGGATTTG